AGATGTTCTAACACGATTTGTATTTGCATGTGTACAAGCCACTTTTTACATATGGAAATGTCAACATATCGTGTAAAGGCAAATAAGATTTGTTTCTGTACAAAGCAGATGCACGTACATACGAAATAGAAGTGTTTCTGTCATGACAATAAAGATATACGTATTAGTTGTCAAAATTCTTCCAATGGAAAAGTATGCATGTATTAGTGAAAAAGTGTGCATGTATTGCTATTGTCATGACGGTATTGTCCGGTGTAAACCCCAAGTAACGGCACGTTTGCATTGGACAATGCTGTCAAGACAATGAAGATATACGTACTAGTTGTCAAAATTGTTCCAATGGAAAAGTATTCATGGATTAGTGAAAAAAGTGCAAGTATTGCTATTGTCATGCCAGTATTGTCCGGTGTAAATCCTAAAAGCTCTGTTATACCATGTTCTGACCGACATCGAAAACATGTTTTCGTTGCTAAAACAGGTTTTCGACTTAAAACTTGTGTTTTCGTCCATGTAAAATCTGTTCACTCATTCCAATCGGTGTCTTCACTACTTTTTTTCGATTATTTATCGAAGTAGAAGTCAAATTTTATCATGTTTAATACGCTATTTCGGATTTATTGGTAATTGGCTGGCAAAAGTAATATAAGAATGAAAGTAAGAGATTGCTAATGAAAAGAAAATGAGGGAAAAGCATTTTGGTTTTGTTTTTGTGTAGCAAAACTGTAATCAGAGGATGTAAGAAATGTCAACGAAAACCCTAACAGCCGGTGTGAACAGCCTTCAGCCCACAATCCCAAAACACGTTTACAAAGTGTTTTCGTTGTCGGTCAGAACATGGTATTAATCTAGACTTAATTTCCGTAACGCAACTTAACCTAAAATTTTAGCTAACCTGTTATATGAGAAACTATGTTGGCGGTTGGTTAAAACTTAACTTAAGTTACGGCCTTAAGCTGAAATTAGTCAAGAACGTAAACCTACCGGTACGTAAACCCGAGTCAGCTGACACGATCTGTCTTACCAAAGCGCCATGTAAATGAAAACTCAACACCGCAGAATTTTTCTGTAGTTGTAACCCGTAGCGCAGAAATCTGCGGAATTTAGATTTTTCCGTGTCAGCTGATTTCTCCTTCTTTAGATGGTTGCCACTTCGTCAGTTTTACAGATGGTAAAAAAGTTATAAGTTCCTATTCAAAATACGTTTAAAATATTTGAAATTTACTATTCAATAAGGTTTTTGTTGAAAACTAAGGGCCGGTTACTCAATGTCTGGTTAACACTAATCTCCGGTAAAACATCGTTATCGACGTTACCGACTCCATGTTATATGCATGGAGCCGAACACGTCGATAATGATGTTTAAACGGTGATTAGTGTTAACCAGACATTGAGTAACCGGCCCTAAGTAGTTTATATTTAGCTAAAATCTATTATAGCACGAAAAATTGTAGTTAAAAGGGTAAGTTTATGAAAAGGCATTGATGAGTGGCAACAGTGTAGTAAGCAACACTGAGGCCTCCAGTAATCGACAAAATTCTGCGTATACAGACTGCGTTTAAGTATACGTTCTGCGTTCTCGACTAATTTCAACTTTACGGAAATTGAGAGCGGTGAGAGAATGAGGCTTGCCAGACTTTCGTTTTTGTATTTCTTATAAATAAATTTAAGCAGACATTTTTGTTTGTATGAATCTTTTTTATATGGCATTTTAGCCAGCGAACTGTTAAACAGCTGAAAAAGAAAATACAAAAACAAAATATTTCCGCTCTTGGCTTAAGTTGACGTGTTCAGTAATAATTGATGATTTTTTACGGTAAGTTAAATTAAGTTAAGTCTAGACTAACTGAGTAAGGGAATCTCCAAACTTTTAGGCACGGTGCACATTAGAGCGATACAATATGCGTTGCGATATGCGATACGATACCCGATGCTATATGAAATGAGCGCAGTCATGATTCAACAACTACAGGTTGTAGCAATAGTACAAAAACAACATTTACCATTGGTATGATCTCCTTGTGGCATCAACATCGCCTTTATCTATTCATATTCGTATGTATATGTATACCTTGCATACCAGGATTTCATAGAATTCTGAAAGGTTTCACAATTTTTTTAAGAATGTTCTGTAAGAAATCGTACAGAAATTTATTTACTAGTTCTTGTCAACCGCTTCATATGTTTTTCCTTACAGATTTCTAAAAGAATCGTAACAAATTTCCGACACTCTTAAAGATTTCGGGAGCATTTGTTTGCAGGGTATATATATACGTATATGTGTATGTATACGCGGATATGTAAATAAAGCAAAACAGGCGATAATTTGACACAAGCGTGCTCATAAGAAGAAGCATAGCTTCTATCGCTATCAACTGTAATTGATGCGTCTTGAGCGCAGTGCACATTAGAGCGATGCGATACGCGATGCGACACGGGATACCATTTTGTGA